TGATTAGCATTGTAGAGAGTGAAGGAAGGCTCCAGGTATTCAACACACCCCATATCCAAGGACGGGAATCTCATGACCCGAGTTCATTCGATATGTCGAACGCAGAGTTAATGACTTTGCCATGTTGCGCAACATAAACTGTTGAAGTTAATGTATTTCAGTATGATATATCAGAAGTGTGATGTGGAATGGAGCTGGGGTTGTTGTGGGACATTGGCGCAATGAGATCATAATGAGAGAGAGGCACGGTGGACCTGGGTTCATGAGGGGCACAACCAAGCTCGCTCTATGTCCGAGGATTGATAATTTACGTGCCGAGTATGGAATTATGCTATGACCAGCTGCTATTGATGGAAATAATTTCCAGGCAATTCTTGGCGGCTTCTGTCTTCTATTTACCTGCTGGATACTCGAAGATTGATAACGATGAAAGGCCGTTCTACCTCACGCAAATCTCGATTTACGAGGTACAAGCTCAAACAAGCTGAAACGAGAGGAAGCTGGACACGGACACAAATCATTGAATCAAATAGGATATCATATCATAACTCATAAGGTATCATCAAAGAATCAAAGCCGCCAGATCAAAAGAGGGCACGCAGCCTAGTCAACTTAGTCGTATCTCTTGTCCATATCCACCTCTGCGCCTCTCTGTCTGACCTTCCCCTCATCATGCACATCCCTCCACTTCTCCTCCTCAGTACGGTCACCCTTGACCGCAGCACCGACCGATCCCAGAGCCCCCTTAGCCCGGTCCGCGGCGCCCTCACCCCAATCCTGCAACTGACCCTTCGCCTCCTGCGCCTTGCCGCTAGCATTCTGCTCCTGGCCCTCGCGGCGCAGATTCTCGTTCCCGATCAAGTTGCCGATCGACTCCTTCGCCGACCCAACGGTCTGGTCCCAGGTGCCCTGGGTGCGCTTGGAGTTGTCCTTGGCCGCGGCGCCGGTCTGAGGGTCTGCGGCGACGGGTCCCAACTTGGCGGTTTCGTGGCTGGCGGCGTGCCCGGCTTTGCCTTGAGTGTGGGTGGCTTCGCCTTCGGCCTGGGGTGCTGTTAGTGGACTGGACGTGGTACATCATTGAGAGGCGGGGATGGGGTCGGTGCATACCTGAGTGGATGGGTTGCCGGTGATTGAGCCCACGGCGCGCTGGGCGAGGCCAGTGGCCTGGTTGACGTAGCTGTTGAGGGTGGAAGCGTTGTTATTGTTGTTGTCAGACATGGTGACTGATTGTGTTTGTAGGATGTAGATGTTTGTAGACTTCTGTTCAAAATTGATCTTGTTCGAAATAGGTCTTGGATGATTTGTTTCGTTCTGCTATGTTTGCTCGACGATTCAGAGATGTTCGTGGCTTTATATAGACAAATGATATACCTCTCTATTTGTGGCTTGAGATAGATGACATCATGTAATGACATCATAGCACGTGGTCACAAATTTGGGCCCATATCGCAGGCATCAGACAGCCAGAAAAAAAATGCACAACATTCTGGATGGCATCATGGATGCGTCATGCATCATAGAATAGAAGTGAAGTCTCAAGAATGTATTCGTTTGGCCGAGGAAATGCCAAGCTGTCATTTTGGATGATCGGTGTCTATACAGCCCGATAATGAAGCACCGCTAAATGCAAAGTGACAAAGTCTATCGCAGAGCTCGCCATCGTAACATAGGAAAAAGAAATGAATAATCGTTTTTCTCATGCCGTAAACCCCCCATATCTTGATTCGGTTACCAATGGCATATACCTCCCTCACTGTCATCTGCCGTCCAGGTCCCTGATAACCCGACCACTTCCAGGTGGCCGTCTGCATGCTCCCCCAATTTGCTCAGGGCTGCGAAGCTCGGCTCCGCCGGACCGTTGCTTAGCAGTCGCCGCGCCCAAGCGTCAATAGCGGGTTCTCCAGTTTCATCGCGCGCCTGCTTCAAGAACGGGATCAGCGCTGTCCCGCCCGTGCCGCGCAACTTCTTGCTGCCAGGCCGAACATTGGCAAGATTCATTGCTAATGATGACCTCCTGGCACTGGTCGTCTCGGGTGCACGATTTCGTGCATCCCGAGCGGGGATGATGATGTATCGGGACACCATCTGAATGTGTTTGTCTCGCATGGCCCGCAGCATAGCGAGACAGGCATCGTAGGCGAGGCAGAGCGCTTTGTCCGAGCGTCGCGCTTCAACGTACTCCCGGATATTGGCCACAGCGCTCACGTGTTCCAGGAAACGCCGATGAGGACCGGGCATGTAGGTTCGCATTTCCTGAATGAATCCGTGCCGCGGTGCTCCCGCAACGCCATCCTTCTCATTCTCGGACGGAGTGCTGGCGGGACGAGTCTCGCCGGTGGGCCGGTGTTCGATGCCAAGGGCGATGTCGAAGAATTGGATAAGTGAACTCTGAGCGTTGCTACCACCTCCATATTGGCGATACTCGGGTTCCTCGCTTCCATCGTCGTACAACAGGCCGTTGGGCAAACCAGCATCAGCCATGTTCTTGCTTCCGGCGAGATATGGCCGGATTCGGTGATAGAACACGTAGGGATCACAATACTCGTACATCCGCTCGAGAAGCACACCGATCTGGTCCAGACTCTCGGCAATACTCTGCAGGCACTCTGTGACTACTCTGCTATTTCCAGTCCGCGCTGCGGAGATAGCTTGTAAAACCAAGGGAATGGCAGGTCCTCCACGGGCCTCAATAGCCACCGATATCAGATAGAACCATCGCTCATCTAGTGATCCCGTGAGGGAATTGATGCAAGCGAGGTTATCCAGATCGTGCGCGGGTTCATCTGGGAAGATAGGCTTGTAGTTCCACAAACACACTGCGGCATATGTGGCCACCGGAGGAAGCTCTAGATGGTCGCAGACCTCGAGAAGGGGAATAGTAAGCTGAGGTGGGATTCTCTGGGTATCACATCAGTATCAGCATGTGCACTGCAGAACTCGTTTGTTAGAAAGCCTACCTCTTCTGGTGTCTTGCCACCCCAGACGTAACCGTGGAGCATGAAGGTCAAGACAACATAAGCCCTTCGCCACTCATCTTCGGAATGTAGGTATTTGGTCTGAAGAATAGGCAGACAGTTGACGACGTCACGAACCCTTCCACTGTGTAGAAGAGACTGTAAATTGGATGCTATCCATTCCCACTTGGCATAGTAAGGATCCGGAAGGGCCTCGAGTGGCGGTTCAGGTGGAAGGAAGCCATGATCTGGTGAGATGCCGTAGTCCGCGAGAGCGGGGATAGGAGGAAGCATTGTGTAGGCAGGATTCAATGCACACAAGCTGGAGTAGCAGTTCGAATACAGAACAGGATAATTTAAGCAATTGAGAATTAACGCCGAGCCCGTTGTTTATCTAGCGGATGCTGGGGTCCGCGTTTCTCCTGGAGGCAAATCCGACTTGAGGTTCCAAAGTTTGTTAAACTCTGCTCCGGACCTGACACCCGAGTGGCTCAAATCGGACGATACCCCGGATCCTTTGATCGAACTGGAGCGTACGATGAAGTTGATCGTGCGCCTATATTCCAAGGCTTGAGAAACAACTGGTCGTGAGGTAAAACACCGATCAGCGGAAGAGACGAGATCGGGACAGAGACTGGACCGAGGCAAAGCAGCCAGGCAGTCCTTCAGTCAAATTTCACTGTTACAAGAGAAAGTAGGATGGACCACACACAGAAGCATGAAATCACGGCAATAAAAGACAACGCTTCCTCGATTCACGCGGAGGACAGCGGAAGAAAAAGGCTACAAGTATAGGAGGAGAAAGATGATCAGTGGCCCTTCTAATTCGGAACCTTGGTAGAAAAAGTTGCTTCTCCGGTGGGGGATGGCATGAGGATTAATAATGCTCATAGAAGATAGAAGGGAGCTGGCGTTGTGAGTTTTAAATTGGTCGTGTGCTCTAAGTGCTGAAAGAGATTGACCGAATTGACCATGACTGGGTGAGAAATATTGACGGCTCTTCCAGAACAACCGACGTCTCCCGGCAAGGACGGATCATTAATCAGTATGTCAGGAGACAAGAAATACTGGCCAATGAATAGAGAACATTCAGACCGGAGAACAAGGGGGCGAGTGTCCGTGGAAAAAGTGAAGCCGATATAGGCAGAAGACTTAAGCTAACTTTTCGCAGAGTGAGTGGTGATTATTGAGCTTTGGGTGGGCCAGAGACAGGGTGATGAGACACGCAAGGGAAGGTGACATGAGGAGGAGATGACGGTAAACACGCCAGGATGGTAGGAAAAGTCAGTATGCAGGTTATAGAATGATATTATTGCAGCCCTTTTGTACTTCTATATCAAAACATCAAAAGATATACTCCAGATACTCCAGATGTATCTATGAAGCCATGCGCCAGCACCAGCGGCAGACTGGGTGGAAGCGAAAGGGGGTCATTATTTGACAAGTGCTAGCCTGAGTGCTAGAGAATGAACCGGAACCCTCTCTGACTGGCGGCCGCCGCCTCCTAGCCCACAAGTGTGCGAAGTCGGGTGCGGTTTCCCCTCCATAAGCGAGTCCGCCGGCGCTTTCGCCTACACCCACGCCACCCCGTTCGGGTCTGCGGTGAAAGCAGGGACTCCAAAGTTTATTCTTGGGTCACATGATTGGTGATCTGAAGTACACCTTTTCGGGAACACCACCCATTGCGGAAATCAAAGTACCATATTATCTGCTGTGCTACTCTTAACAGAACCCAAGCCATACTCGTATGGATTATGGTATTATTGGATATAAGCATATCTCCTGCTTAGACAAACAGAACAGTGTTGGTGGAAGATATGAGCCCTACATTGAGTCTAATAAAGTCTGGCGCGTGAGGCTGGAGACGCTCATAGCTCAATTCTTTAGACTATATAAAATAGATCAAAGTTCAGTCATCAATTTCATATTATTACATGCCAACCCAACGCCGTCCCGAGTGCGATATTTGCAAATGATGAACTGAATGGACAGAAGACTTCGCCCGGTCATTCTGGAAAGGAGGAAGGTACACCAATAAGAGAGTGTTTAATGCTGACTCCATTGGATGGTGTTCAGATCAATGCCCTCCTGAACCAACTCCCACAGAGGACTCAGCTCTCGAAGGAAATGGACGCGGTCCTGAACCGCCTTGAGGACGTAGTCGATCTCACTATCTGTTGTGAACCGTCCAATACCAAAACGAATACTGCTGTGAGCGCTCTCATCACTGCTGCCCAACGCACGAAGGACGTAGCTGGGCTCCAGCGAGGCAGATGTACAGGCACTACCGGACGACAGCGCAATGTCCTTCAGAGCCATCAGAAGGGACTCGCCCTCAATGTAAGCGAACGAGACGTTGACGCATCCAGGGTAATGGCGCTCAGCATCTCCATTGAGCGTGGTGTGTTCCATAGCCAGAAGTCCATCCAGTAGGCGCTTCGACAGCCGTTCAACGTGTTTCCTATCATACTGCTCGATACATTAGTATAAACGATTCATAACATCGATGAAGTCATAGCGAGATTTTCAGTAACGGCCGACTCATCACCCCTGCGATGTACGTCATGCAGCCATGACAACATACCAAAGGTATGAAGCTACCGTCATGGTGTCCGAAAACTCATGCAGTATATAATCCCCGTCGACAAACATCCGAAGAACATTGGACTATGAAAGAAAATAACTTACCTCCATATCCTGACCGGCGATGCGGCAAGCCTCGCCGAAACCAACAACCAAGTGAGGAGCGAGCGTACCACTGCGCAATCCTCGTTCCTGTCCACCACCGGAGATGATGGGCTCAAGGCGAACCCTAGGTCTGCGTCGAACATAGCAAGCACCAATGCCCTTGGGACCATAAATCTTGTGGCTGGAGATAGACATCAAATCGATGTTCAGCTTGTTGACATCCAAGGGGATCTTGCCAACTGCCTGAGCAGCATCAGTGTGGAAGAAAACCTTCTTCGAACGGCAGAGTTTTCCGATCTCTTCCATAGGTTGAATCACACCAATCTCATTGTTGACGGCCATAATGCTGACCAGAGCCGTGTCGGGTCGAATTGCGGCTTCGAGATCCTCCATCCGGACCAGTCCGTTACTTTGAACGGGCAGGTATGTGACTTCGAACCCCTCATCTTGAAGATGCCGGCAGCTGTCCAATACACACTTGTGCTCAGTCTGCGTTGTGATAATGTGCTTCTTCTTGCCGGAACGACCAAAGAATCTGGCCACACCCTTGATGCTCATGTTGTTACTTTCGGTGGCACCGCTCGTAAAAATGATCTCCTTTGAATCCGCCCCAATCAATTTCGCAATATGCTCTCTGGCTTGTTCGACAGCCTTCTCCGACTCCCAACCATACGCGTGAGTCCTGGAATGAGGGTTTCCGTAGATACCGGTGAGATAGGGAAGCATAGCGTCGAGAACACGAGGGTCAAGCGGCGTAGTGGCCTGCATGTCCAAATAGATGGGTCGCGTTCCTTGGTCCATGACCGTTGCTTGTTTCAGAATACCCGCGGAGGGACTCATCGAAGCATCTCCGGAGATGCTAGAGGCAGGAAGTTCGACCTTTCCAGGCTGAAGACCTGTCTGCTTGATGAAGTTCTTCTGCTCCTGTTTGATGGCCGTGTCGATCGAAACCTGAGCACTTCCCGCTTTGGTCTCGGTAACATATGTTCGTCTCGAAGCTGCACCACCGGAGGTGGCGAGCACCCGTCTGGGGAAGGACGCGGTCGGCAGGGAGCCATGCTGAGTCGACGGGAGTCGACGAGCATAGGCACGAGATGCCTGTCTCAAGGCAGATGGTGTAACGCTAGACATAATTTAGATGTTGCGCGACTGTACCATTAAACGCTTGATGGTCAGTTGATAGCAGAGTGGATGACAGCAAAGGAGAAAGGCGCGAAATCGTAAGAGCGAGAAAAAGGTTGGGTCCGGTAATATCATTGCCGCTAAGCCCGATCGGAGCAATCAGATAGCTCGGTGAATTCGCTCGGTCTTTTCCACCGGAGTCTCAACCATCTTCTGCGGACATATATATTGTCCGATGAATCATTTGTACAGGGTATCTATTTATCAAAAATGGGTAGAATATCCATATTATGTCATCAAGTGAACAGAGTTGGGAGGAAGATCTCCTGTAGCTTCTGTGGGGAAGAAACAGCAGGGTACGGCGAAACGCGATTACCCCACGGTTGGTTACTCTCAGTTTAATACTTGAAGAATAGCAGTTTGTCAGAGATATTCTCGGCTGTACTCCGTACTTGCGGTTTATTAGGCCATTATTATGTACCGTCGAGTCATTGGGGTACATATCACTATGGTGGTGCCTAATGTTGTCCCACAAGTTAGATCCAAGCCAAATGAACACCAAGCCTGAATAACCGGTGCCTAAACCAGCTCCTAGAGGGAGATTCCGGCATTCGGTGTGGTTCTCCGTCGCGACGCCACACCACGATCGATCGGTATGCTCAGTCACAAGGAACATGTATGACTTCATCATATCATGGTGCACAAATGAGCAAAGGAAAATGAATCTCAGATTTAGTCTCAATGGCCATATTTATTTAAACTTATTGCTATACTTCATCGATCATTTTATTGTACCCAATACTAAGAGTATAATACGTACCTGGTATGTCTCAGCCACACTTACCTCGACAGTGTCCTATGTCATAGCTCAGCCACAGCGCCGAGCGGACGAACCACTAGTATATTGGGCTGGGCTGAAGGCTGCAAATCCACCCCAAGGAACAAGAAGGTCGCTTTCCCCCACTCCTCACCACAGAGCCATTTCTCGCTCTAATATCATTCTTTCTTTGCTACTCCTTGAGACCCTCCTCCTTTATCCCCCTAGCATCATCTCAAACACACCTAGATCCCACCGTTGTCTATACCGAGCACTTCCGCCGAGCACCTACACAAGAGATAGCACCAGCAGGAGCACCGAGATGAGTTTGAAGGGTTTCCAGAAGAGCATAGTTCGCGCACCGCAGCAATTCAAGGCGCGGTTCAATATTGGCGAAAACACCAAGGATCCGATCTATCAAGATGCCGAGCGACGATTTCAAGAACTTGAGAAGGAGACGAAGAAGCTTCATGATGAGTCCAGGAAGTATTTTGAAGCTATTAATGGTACTGAGTTGCTCGGGGTCGATTTTGTTGAGCAAGATCCGGGTAGCAAGATGGACTAATGAACACACAGGCATGTTGAATCACCAGATCGAATTCTCCAAAGCCATGACAGAATTATATAAACCCATCTCCGGTCGCGCCTCGGACCCGAGCACATACACCATTGAGGGCAACCCGGAGGGAATTCGAGCTTGCGAGGAATACGAAGCGATTGTCCGCGACCTACAGGAGTCACTTGCGCCCGAGCTAGAGTTGATCGAGACTCGCATTGTGAGTCCGGCAAATCAATTGCTGGAAGTAATCAAGGTGATTCGGAAGGTAGCGGTGAAGCGAGATCACAAGAAGCTGGACTATGATCGACACCGCAACGCTTTGAAAAAACTGCAGGAGAAGAAGGACAAGTCGCTGAAGGATGAGAAGGCCCTTTACAAGGCGGAGAATGACGTGGAGCAAGCCACGCAGGAATTCAACTACTATAATGATCTGCTCAAAGATGAGCTACCCAAACTCTTTGCCCTCGAAGCCGAGTTCATCCGCCCGCTGTTTCAGTCGTTCTACTACATGCAGCTGAATGTCTTCTACACACTGCATGAGAAAATGCAGGGCATGAACATCTCCTATTTCGATTTGACTCTGGATGTTGAGGAGGCATTCGAGAAGAAGCGAGGAGACGTCAAAGAGCGGGCAGAAGCACTTACCATCGTCCATTTCAAGACGAAGGGTCTGGGCCGACAACCCTCCAAGTTCACACCTCCCGGCAAGGACAAGATGGCGTACGAGAGCAAGAGCACATTCGCCCGCACGAATCGCGCTGAGGAGACTGACAACCCTCCTCCACCCTATTCGGCCTCTGCAAGTACTGTTGCGGCTGCCAAGGCCAAGCCGGCGCCTCCGCCACCCAAGCCCAAGCCCGCCCGATTGGGTGCGGCAGTCGAGACGGTTACAGCCTTATATGACTACGAAGCACAGGCGCATGGTGATCTCAGCTTCTCTGCGGGCGACGTGATTGAGATCATCCAGCGGACGGACAACCAGAATGAATGGTGGACCGGTAGAGTTGACGGACGAGAGGGCCAGTTCCCAGGTCAGTTCCATTCCCTGTTCTTCTTTCTCCTTGAAAGACTAACGTTCCTTTCACTACAGCAAACTATGTCCAGCTGCGTTAGCATGGATATTTTCACCACTTAGCGGTCATGTCACAATATTCATATTTTTATTGCCTTTTGATACTGCTGTCTGTTATCGACAGCCATTTTCCAGGAGTTGTGGGGTTCCTTCGCACAATCTCTTTGGCTTTCAGCTCCAGCAGCGTCGTCACGCTTTACTTCGTGTTCTCTAGTTCATCTCCCTACTTGCCTGTCATAGAGCATCGCGTGCATGAAGATACTCTCTTTGCTTGTAAATAGTCTCTAGGCTATTCTTACGCCCCAATCACGCCCAAAGGCATTCGATCAACGACGTTGGACTCCTATGAAACGGCAAAACTGGCTCTAGCTCCTGTATTTGGAGTATGCGGCAAGTTGTGGATCATTGCGGTGTTCAAAGGGGAGTCCAGTCAATGTACAGCGCAATTGCGGACACTGTAGGTTTCACAGAAGCCATTTCCGCATCGCTAACAGAGTGAACACCTATAGCTAGGTAGTTCCTCCTCTCGCCCCCGCTGATACTGCTTAAAATGCCGTGATTCCATTCGATATCGAACTTGAGTCGTCGTTCTTCTTGACATCTTTGTAGCCACAGAACTAGAAGACCGTGCGAACAAATCTGGCCATTTGACGTTTATCCACCTAAGTATTATTTTCAATGCAGCTACTACGGAAATGACGTCTCCCTATGATATCGACATGTAGCCCATTGCACTTCTCAGTGTCCGGGTCATTTCATGGAATGTAGGTATGAACTTCGACGTGAAGTCGGAATTTCCATCGATAGCAACAGACCTGGTCTATTTACAACGCGGCTATTGTGTTGCAAGTATCCATTGTAGTACGAAGGGTACTGCTGGCAATCCCAACGGAATTCAGTTGCCTTAAGGAATTCCTTGACTGCTGCTGCTGATGCCCTTGAATATATGCAGGTATCTTTTAAAGCCGCTTTTCTGTTCGGGTCAGGTCTGCTGGTTCCAGTAACGCTCCTCGACGCTGAGCGCAATCCGTGCAACCTTGTGTATCCATTCCTTTCTTCTTTTGGGGTAGTTTGTGGTCGATGTCATGTATTCTGAGAAGAAGAACGGCAGAAGCCTGACGACTGTCGTACTCATGTTCTGAGCTCGGGAGCGCTCTCAGTCCTGATCACGGCTTCGCCGACACTGACGAGTACCCTGGACACAAGATATAGGTCTCAACATTGTCTCCATAACTGTTGCTCCCAAGGCAGAGGCCTAAGTGTCAGTGCTCGCAAGTCGCGAGCGATATTGGGATTCCTCTGCATGGACATTTCATTTCTTAGTAAAGCCTTATCTAGTTATCACTCTTTGTCTTCCATGACTTCATCCTCTTGAGTACAAGTAATGGTGGACTCATCCGCAGTGACTGTGTCAGAGGAAGCCAAAGGGGGAGGAGGTGCTGCTGCTTCAGGAGGAGGTGCTGCTGCCGCAGCCAGAGCCGCGGCAAGCGTACATCAGGTTTCCTTCATTTCAGTGTCCTTATTGTCCTTCGCAGTATCATTCTACTGTAGTTAGTATAAAGCAACCGTAGACTCTTGGTATGAGTCACTTACCTCTTGAGCGGGAGCAGGAGCCTCCTCGGGAGGGGGTTGGGTGGCATCGGGCACAGCAACTGTGTCGTTCGCAGGGGCAGCAACGGTACCGTCTAGAGGATTGACTCTTCTCAGAGGTCTCCATCATGATCTTTAGATCCCCGTAAGCAATTACTTCAGGCAATAGTAAACAATACCAGATGGGCCCTGGCCGCCGCAGGTACTTGGTGGCGGCCTCTATTTGAATATGAATTGCCCATAACTGCCGATATACTGAAAGGTGTAGAAGTCCGAAACCCCTTCTTGTCCACTGTAGGCTGTATGCATCTCCTGGGGGCGCGTGATGTACCCTTTCATAGGGTCAAACACCCAGTTCAAATCGGCGTTCCAAATACCATTTATATAACCCTTGGTAGTCGTGCTGCTCTTTTGGGAGCTCGTCAGGGGGCGTCACCATGGTAAGGGTCAGTCCCCAGAACTACAATTTGTCCGCAAGTATAGCCCAGAAGATCGTCAGGGTAATGTCCCGGATTTTGCCGAGCGAAGCGGAAATCAGCAGCAGCAGTATTCACAGGAGGGCTTGTAGCAACAGGACCAGCAACAGGACCAGCATCTGCCTCAGGGACAGGGTCAGGAACAGGATCGGCCGCAGCCGGAGCCGCGGCGGCTGGGGCATGGGGCTAACATTTGGTCAGTCTTCACATCATCATTCATTCAAACGGTACCACTTACGTTGCTCAAGCCCCCATGCCCACCACCGCGACCGCCGCGGCCCCTGCGACCACCGCCACGAGCTCGGGGGGAACGTCTTCCGAAGTCTCTCTGAATACGCCTTCGTAAGCGACAAATGAAATGCTCTAGTTCAGTCATACATACATTTGACATGGCCTGGTAGATAAGGCGGACGTTGACGACTTCAGGACAGTTGCGTGCTATATGACCACGTTCGCGGCAAGTGTGACAAACCAACGTGCATCCCTGAATCCTCCAACCAAGAGGACCAAGGTCAGGAAGCCGGCAAGCGCACAAGCGTTGTCCCGCCAAAAAGGCGTGGTCTGGTCCTCAAGCCGCCTTCGCAATCGTCGGTCACAGTCCCCCTTTCCTTCAGATATCATTGCTGCCGTTGAGACTTGGAAAATGACACACAGCTTTGCTCGCCGTGAGGGCGCTATCATCACTGCGAGGAGTCGTATGTGTCGCTCTGCTTTTCCTTTCCAGTGGTTGCTAATAGTCAATGATGCTGACGACGAGGACAAGTCCATAGGATCAGGTACATTGATCCCACCCAGAGGACGGATACCAGCCTCGAAATGGTACGAAAGCAGCTTTGCACAAGACACACCAATGCTGAGTCGTCCTTCCACGAAGGCCAGCCCACGGAAAACCGACAAGGGCGCGAACATTGCCATGCAAGAAAGGGTATTAATGTCCTCAGTATCGTCCGAGGATGTAGAACACTATTTGGTGCCACTTACTGATCTGATCTCTTGTCCAGCAAGAGAAGAAGTTCCTTGGTCAATGGGACCAGGAGTAACGTGATTAACCCAAGTGGAGACACCACTGGGCACTGCATTTTGCAAACTATTGTCTCGAATGAGTGAGACGGAGCTATCGTCCTGTAAGACATAGCCTGAACCTCGACACGAGTGGGCTCTTGGGTCCAGGTTGACTGGCAGAGGTACAACGTGTGCAGTAATGCCATAATCACCTCGCGCCCAGGTGTCGGAGCGAAGCGTTGCGTTTCAGCACCCCGCAAGCCGCAATGATGAGTAGGTGCCATTCCTACACTGCAGGTTAGCACATTTAGGATAGGCTGAGTAAAGCAAGGTGCGTGTTAAGGACATACAGGGATCTCACAAAGACACAGTGAGCAAGTTGAGCATTAGCCATCTGTTCGGGCCACCGCGGCCCCTGTGACCACCACGACCACCACGAGTTCTGGGACGACCACGATTCACGCCGGCACCGCGCTAAAGTTGGTCTTTGTAAGCAACAGTCAATACTCTACTTGAGTCATACATACAGTGGCCATTGCTGAGAGTAAGATCGCCGCACTTCGGACGTGAGGACATGTTCGTTTACATGTCCCCGCTCCCCACATGTCCACATGTAAGGGTTGTTCTATCTCACAAAGACACAGTGAGCATACCAAGCACAGAGTGGATTGGAGTCGCCGTGAGGAACCAAACGTTATCCGCTTCCAGCCTGGCAACCGCCTGATGGACTCTGATCCGGATGGTTTTGGCTGCGTGGGCTGTGACGTAGCAGGGCGCATGGTTTAAAGGAAATGTCAAACGAAATGCTCACCTTCCTGGCATTGCCTCTGCCTCTCTCTTCCTTTCCAGGTTCCTCGGATTGACTGGTATAAGATGGTGGAAGACACCGGCAATTCAATTGCGGTAGCAGTAATCAGCAAGTAAGAACAGGGAAATCAGCAAGATGTGGCAGAAATGGAGTCATGAGCAAGTAGGCCATCGCGAAGAAATGAAGGAAGGGAGTTGGAATGAAGAGATGAAACATGATTGACAAGTGGGTGCAGGCATGTAATAGTGAATGAGATACTTGGAAAATAACTGAATACAGTGAATAGACCCCCCAGTGGCAAGTGAATTGGTGAGTTGAGAATTAGCCATCTGTTCGAGCCTCCGTGCTGGCTCGGCTGATCGAGGTCTCTCATCGTTGATTTATAAATCGTAGAACAACCTGTCGGATGTTATCTATAAACATAAAAAGTTAGATGAAGGACTTTTGCACTGTGTTAGGGAGGAAAAGAAGGTCCGATGGCCATACCTTGTCTCAAAGAATAGCCTCTATTCCCTTGATTGGCCTTTCGGCTGCGGGATTGCAACCTTTCAATTTAGCAATCGGTCTAGTGATTTTCTCACTCGTAGTGTTTAATGCCGGAACTCTTTTCTTAGCCCTTCCGGAAGGGAAGAGCTCCTAGGCTTGTTCCATTGTGGGTATACCGGTCCGCTGTATGGGCTCAGCTTCGCCAGTTGGCGCTATGTATAGAAGGCCGAAGTCATCGCAGAGACAAATTAAAGAAGTATAGTGGTCCTCTGTAAGTTGAAGAGATATTGAGCGCCGGGAATTAGCAGGGTTGAGAAGGAAGCAGAGCAGTTAATATACTATCCTGGGAGGGACAATGATCATTCACTACATTCAATGGAAAGATCATTCTTTATTAACTGGCTTTACATGCAAGCAACAGCTTCACAACAATGATCAAAGACAGAAGTAGTGAATAAGGTACCAAATGATTGGTTAGCCTGTCATAGCCTTTTAGCAACACGATGAAATTATTGATCATCGTCACAAGCCTTGACAAGCACTACAGCAGTTGTCTTGTCTCCACCAGTCGGATCTCGTATCAAGAGGCCAGCTCCATTCTAGCTAGAATGAGAACCTTTTATATATATCGACCTCTATCTAGTTTTCATTTTCATTCTACAATCCATTCTCGCCAATCTCTTACTCCCTCAAACTCGAATCTACATATTCTCAAAATGAGAGTCACAACCTTGTTCTCCCTCCTCCTCACCACAGCCCTCGCCGCTCCCCAGAGTGACTCCCAAGCTCTCTCCAGCGACTTAGCCAACTGGTCCTCCCTCGGAAATGCCTTGTGAGTCTAGCCCATCTCGCTGTCTGAAGCGTCTACAAAACTAACAGCCCGCCAGACAATCCCTAAACTTCAACTTCACCATGCCCACCAAAACTGCCAACCTCGACAACATCTCCCCACCACCTCGCTCGCTCATCCCAGAGGTCATCACCGCTCTGCCCCCGTCCGTACTAATGGAACTCATCATCCCGTCTCAGCGCAGCGCCCTCGCTAGCCAGTTCAAGGCCGGGAGCACACCCGCCTGGTACGCGAGTCTCCCCAGCAATGTGCAGAATTACCTGTCCGTGGTGAAGAGCCAGATCTCCGAGGGCGCGTTGACGGCTACCACGGGCCTGGCGTATCAGACTGCAGCTACTGCGTCAGCTACGGGCACGGCGACGGAGACGGGTAAGTCTGCGGGGGGAGCAACGTCTACGTCAAAGGGAATGGGTGCTGCGGCGAGACCGACGGGGGTGCTGATGGCGGGGGGAGTGGGTATGGGGGTTTTGGGGCTGGCGTTGGTTCTGTGAGGGACGACCGAATGAATGTGAATGTGATCAGCGATCCACATCGATGGACGTCTGAAAATCAAGGAACGAGCGGCAATGACACGAAAGTACGGAATATGGATGATGTGATGACTATGAACTAGTATAGGCGGCTTGAATGAACTAGATGTCTGTCTATCTATTGGGTAATGATATCGACGGGTATAGCTCTTCGGTTAAGCTTTAGTGGAGATGCGGAGAAATCAAGGCGCTCCTGACAAGATATTACTGGCTTGTGTTACGACTTACAACAGGGTAGACACTTAAATCATGCATGATGATAGATAGATATGGAGCAATAACTGAGACTAGTTTCTTATCCTGCGCTAGATAAAATACGATGGCAATTGTGATTATGCCAATTCTTGGAAAGAATAGCGAGGTACTCCGTAGGCCGATTTCACATGAGTCTCCGATCCCGAGGTCCCTAAATGGGTCTACACTCAAATTGTCAACGATCAACGGTCACAGTGCTCTAGCCTGAGTAGCTTCACCATGATCGAATCCACTTGAAAAGCCTAGCAGACCACGAATTCAACAATATGGAGTAGACCCGACCAGACGCCGAGACGAATAAAGATTGACATATCTACGTATGTGGCTCAAAGACCCTGAAACATTAATCTATCTGAGGGGTATATCTCAAAAAAAAAACCGCGTATATTCGAGACAATGCTTTGGGATTAACTCCACATCATCCAGGGACCAGCAACAAGTTACCCAAAAGGGAATGCATTGCGGCAAGGGGGCCACTGTGGGGGGCGGAGTTGGAGGCTGGAGAAGTGGAGGATGAACGCTGCGCATCACATGAATGTCGAAAGATTGAGACTTCTTTAGCTGTGGATCAAGTCAATTGCCCTATGTCGGCTTGATAAGACGAAGAAAGGGCCTGATCGCTTGAGTGAAAATCTACAGCCTCGGAGGTAATTGTCCAGATCCACGGCTGCAGGGCTAGACTCTGGTTTGGGACCAAGACATGTCAAATCGGGGATTTACTCCAGGACTCCATAGACGAGATAGACCCAGCACATGTTTGATGAAGCTGATGGCGATGGAGCTGGATTTCAAGTAGATAGCGGGGTAATCATGATGCTTGTTTCTTGCAAGTTGCAACTGAGGCCTCGTATCCTAAATTAACAGTGCCTTGGATAGCAAATACATATACTTACCTCTGGTCGAGAGTATTATCTACTTCCCCAACCCATCAGACACATCTTCCTTACGTCAACAAGCAACAAGAACAACACCACAAATATGCGTCTCTCAAGCTTCCTCCTCCCTCTCCTTCCCCTCGCCCTCGCCAACCCAAACCCAGTGGCCGCACCAGCCCCCCAATCCACAGGCGGCGGCCTCCTCTCTGAGCTCCCAACCATCCTCAACGGCGTCAAAGAGCTCCTAAGCGAGGACACCCTCAACGACCTCCAAACCATCGTCAAAGGCGGCGCCGTGCTCCTGGGCGGCGACAACCCGTCCAACATCGCCAAGCTGCTCTCGGGCGATAATGTCAACAAGCTCCAGGATGTGATTAATAATGCGCACTCGCTGTTGACGCCGACGTTTGTGAACGAGACGTCGACGTTGATCGGGGATGCCACGCCGGTGAGTTTACTTTTTTTTCGTTTCTTGGTGAGGTTGGTTGCTGACGTTTGTAGCTGGTTTCGGCTGTGGAGAAGTTGCTGGGTGGGTTGTTGGCTTCGTTGACGTAGAGTTGTTATGGAGTCATGGGTATATATGAGTGATGAATTCTCATGGGTAAATATGCATATACGGATGATTCTTGATTGATTATTATAAAATGGGATGATTCACAGGCATCAATGTATTGTTTCTCCTACTCGAGCGGAAGCCTTGCAGAGGATATGATTCTTGAAGTAGGTTCATTGCAAATTCATTAGAGCACAGAGAGTATACAGAAATGACCGATTAAACGACATTCAAATGTTTCCTCAGCTCATTCAGATAGTACCGCAACGGATAAGACCGCGTCGACACCGGCAGAGCAGGATAGACCGCATTCGAAAACCCCATCGTGCTCCGGTACAACCCCCGCGTCCCCATCGTGGACTTGAGCCCATACTCCTCTCGAATCCTCGGCGGCAGCATCTCGATCGTCACCACCCGCAGAAACGGCTTCAGCATCTGCACCCACCGCGGCACAGCCTTGTCATGGAGTAGATCTTTGGCGAACTTGTTCGCGTCTGGCGTGACCGTCAACCGCTCGATGTGGTCGTCCCAGTACTTCCAAAACTTCTGGCGCGTCTCGGGCCAAACACCTGCAGGCAGGCCCAAAGTGTGGATTAGAAGACCAAACTCCGCGTATGCCTTTTCGGCCGTCCGGTAGTCTACTCGGCCGTAGATGCGCTGGTAGAAATCTGTTGCCGTGGCGTAGAGCGTCGCCGCGATCCAGAGCTGGACGTCGGGCGCGGCGGCGTAGTAATGTTCGCTGCCGCGGAGAGGAGGCTGTCCGCGACTAAGCATCTCGAGCAGTGTCTTCTTCTCCTGCTGTGTGCCAAAGACTAGACAGGAGAAGTAGCTCAGCATTGCTTGCAAGGCATCGCCTAGCTCGGTGGCTAGATTGGGGCCGTTGCTGGCTTTGTCGTGATCGTTGCGAATCTCAGGCAGGGCTGCTTGTAGAAGGAGCGCTGTCCCTGATCCTGCAAAGAGGATGCCCTCCTGGAGGATTTGAGGGAGGATTTCGAGGTTATCCAGCGCATCTAGAGAATAAGTTTCTGACTTGATGCTGTTGGTGGTTGGTGTTTGAGACTTTTCTTCGGGGAGCGTTTTATCGAGGGACATTTTGACGCGATGTTGTATTCCTTATCCAGAATAATTATGCCAGGTTTTTGCCGTCTTCCCAGTGTTGAGTGATGGACTTGCTGCAAGGATTGGAAGATGCCACTGTGGAAATAGGAGACACTCTGATGCCCCATGCGATCTTCAAAGCCTTCCACGCACTTTTCACCACTTTCATCTCACCACTGATGAATGATCTCAAAGCACATGCAGACCTCTGGAGTTGCCCATCCTTCGCATCCGACAGTTTTCGTCATTTTCCAAACCCCCGCATATTCACCCCGTAACCGGGGAGAGAGTTCCGTTTCCCCAAGTTTCGGGCTTGTCCAGCGTCTGTGGCACTTGTGGGCAGAGCTCGAGTCGAAACAACCCGACAATGAAGCCACTTTCGTACTACTCCCCACCATCCATCTGACTAGTCTTTCCCAGCAAATGAGCTAACAACCGCGGTTCTTTAATAGTTTGCGATGATCGTTATCCCAATGGCCGCATGTGAACTGTTAATCAATCGCCGGGATTGGCTGCAGGGGATGATCGCCGAAATCGCAGTGTCGATCATGCGGAGGGAACCCCCTAAAGGGGCTTAACTCTCTACAGAAATGGCCAAAACTCGATACAACAAAGCAAGAATTGCGAACACTTGGGCCCAGAGCTAAGCGAAACGTCGCGGAAAATAGCTAAACAATTTGGATTTGGCTCGGAGCTAGGAAATGAAGAAAATGAAGAAAATGAAATTATCGTGTGACAGTGGCCCGCAATGCTATGACTCTCGTACGGATCGAGGTTGACAGGCGAAGATCTCGGATTCACCCCATCACGTCTTCTTCATTTATATCCATTGCTACCAGCTACCCCGGATTTCGAGGTCTGGTCTATCTTTAGACTCTTGCTATCCGGATCACTGTCACCATGGCCGAGATGGAAGAAAAGCCCTCCTATCTCAGTGCCAAAGGGGCCAAGTATGCCCTCGGTATCCATCGAGGGCCTTTACCCCCGGCCAATGGGGACGGTGGGGAGATTGAACATGTCGAGACAGCATTATCGCTGGAGAAGAAAGAGAGAACGAAGAAAGAGGCCATGCGTCGCCATTGGGCCCGGTTCTGGTGCTGCTATATTTTCTTCTCGATCATCTTCCTCGCCATCATCCTCCCGGTCTTGTTCGTCTTTCCGCCCCTGTTCACGACGTCTGTGACCTTGCTGACATTAGAATAGCTTCGTGGTGATTCTTCCCGCTGTCTCTCAGCGAGTTGTCGACAACTCCGACCTTGTTCTCGTCGATGCAAGTGTCATGCAACCTCGTCCAGACTCGGTAATCCTCACTATGCAGTCCGCCCTCAAATTGCCCATTGGACTTCCCGTTCGTATCGATCCCATCACTTTGGACCTCTTCAACCGGGAGGAGCCTGGGAACAGCACCTGGACCAAATTGTACCTCAACGGGACAACTATCTCGGGCAACACCACTTTGGGAGTCACTAATCAGTTCAGTCCACTCAATACGGAGCAGTGGGCCAAATATGTGCACAATGTGGTGTTTGAGGAACATGCACCCTTGTCGTTGAAGGGCACTACCATGTCGTACCTAGGCAAACTTAAATCGCGCGTGACGATGGACAAGACGATCAAGCAAAACAGTAAGTGGACACCTTTATTGGTAACGAATTCACTGGCTGACCTTCTCAGCCCTAAACGGCTTCGCCGGATTTTCCATCGAGGGATCGCAATTGCTTCTGCCTGCTGAACCAGACGGCACCAACCTGATCGCCAACGCCACTTTGCCCAATCCCTCAGTCATGACATTGGAAATCGTGAGTCAGCAGCATAATCCGCCGTTGAGTATCACTAACAATCGATAGGGCACAACCGTGTTGGACCTCAAGAGCGGAGATCTCGTCATCGGCAACGCAACGATCGATAATCTCGTTCTTAGACCGGGCAACCATTCAAACCCCGTCCGCGGCAGACTCGATCTTAAAACCGTGCTGAAGAACCTTGGACCGGTCCTACAGAGCCAGAAAGACTCCCTCCGCAACGGATATCTGACTCTCAACACCGTTGCCAAATCGGTCGTTTATGACGGCGTGGAGGTGCCATATTATACGAATGTGATGAAGGACCTGACCCTTAGCGCGAAGATTCCTATCGGCGGGCTGCTGGTCAACACCCTCCGGGGGATGTTCAACAAGAACGGGACAAATATCCTCGACCAGATGAATATCACCGACTCATCGTCGTCGGGAAGCACGAGCGGTCTGCTGTCCGAACTGCAGCATCTGAACTTGAGCAGTCTGGGCGGAGGGCTGAGCAGTAAATTGACTAGTCGATCGCTGGCCGAATTCCTCGATCGTCCCGACGATAAGGCATTATTGGCTGATGTGCTGAAGGGATTCTTGTAAACGAATCACGACATGCTTGATGAACTGTGGATATTGACATGAGCGGCGTTTGGAGTCTCTTTTTTTGATTTCTATTTTGTCTCTTCTATTTTCTTGTGTATAGATGAAGAGCAATTCCCTTGTATATACATGAACAAACCCAATATTAAGGCTTGAAATTATTCAATATTCAATCCAGGAACCCCCCCCTTCACCGCATTGAAATATGAAACGTGGGGAGCTAAGCACGCTGGCGGGAAGCAAAAGCCATGTGAAGATGAGACCGTGACATCGGACTTCCACCTATCACACACCATCCTCCAGGGTTGCACTCTTTGTCTCTCGTCGGCCAATGACCCAAGAGTCTATCAGATATCTTGGCTTGCAAGGGTAATTGGTCAGTACCAAGGCAGTCCGTGGTGGTTGAGTTCCTTTATACACTTAGTGAGGCATTTTGGTGCCAACTGCCAAGAATAGATAGATTGTGAGGATTAAGACGCCTGTCACTTCTCGGTGTCCATTTTCCCGCACCGGCCAGAGCGTCCTTCTCCTATCCCTTGAGCTAATGGAAGGGTCCATACTCCATAGCCTGGACTTAATTGCCGATAAAGTAGTGGAATATGTGACCTGTGGAGATAAAGAAGACGCTGCCCTATCTACCTACCTTATGGCCTCTTTTGTGTCTGGGGTAACAGCAGGGTTGCAAAGACAGCTCACCACGTGGATAGGTCATATTATTTGTAACATCGATGCCGATATCTCCGTCAAGTGTCCTAAGCTCTCGTTCGGGCCAGTCAAGCCTTAATCTGACGCGTAAACTTTGATGGATTGCGGGGGAGGCGCTTGAGGGGACGGCCCCCATGATCCAGTATCAGCCTATCCACACGGCATAACCCTGTAATATCGCGCTCCAGTCCACATGATGTTGGTGGCGTTTGCCCAGAGTTGTACTAGTCCAGAACCTTGCGCTCTTGGTCTGACCCTAAATACATCGTTTTGGTGGTAGGTAGTACTGGGATGTTGCCGTGCGTCTTGGATGTGGTCCAATCGTTGCTGGCATTCGCCCCGGGGTCAATGAATCAGACGACTCGGCACTGCGGTATTCACTACTAGACTGGTCCATCAGAAACAACGGGACATGCCGCTAAATGGCCCGTTTGTTTCTCTCGCATTATGTCCTGGAGCTATGTCCGGGTTTGGTTTGCTCGCGCTTGCGGGGTGCGGAGAGTATTTAACTGCTGTGGGATACTCGCATATTGGATAACTTCTTCTCTCCTTGGTCTCTTTTTGTCTTCCCAAGTTTCTTCTTTTCCCTTACAGTGGCTGGCCTGTCCTACAAAGTTTCTTTTGACAGCTGGCTGCAAAAATGAAGAAGTTCTACAATGTCTACTTTCTGTGTAGCTTCATCACCTTGGGTAAGGACATCTCCGAATAGAACCACTTATGAATCGCCTCACTGACTCTCTCAAACAAAAGGAGGAGGGCTTTTTGGGTTCGATATCTCAAGTATGTCGGGGGTCCTGGGAACTCAAGCCTATGTGAATTACTTTCGTGTGGGCAGTGGCCAGTATAAGCAGGCAAGTTTCCATCTAGCCCTCTATCTCGACTCTCGAGTCCCCTCCGCTAAACTAGGGCACCAGGGTGGTATCACATGTGCGATGCCCTTTGGCTCGCTGATTGGTGCTCTGTGCTCGAGTTTCATTGCGGACCGCTACTCTCGTGTCACTGCAATCCAGTTGTCGACTATCCTGTGGACTATTGGCTCCATGTACGTCTGTCTGTCGCACATCTGCATCTGCCATGCCAACCAATTCTTCTAGCTTCATGACTGCCTCCAATGGTATTGCTCTCCTCGTCGTCGGTCGTGTCGTCGCTGGTCTTTGCATCGGTATCGCCTCAGCCATGGTTCCTGTCTACCAGGCAGAGATCGCTCCAAAGGAAATTCGTGGTCGAGTTATCTCCCTCCAACAGTGGGCCATCACCTGGGGTATCTTGATTCAGTACTTTATTGTGCGTATCCAGCTCCTTTATCCAAACGGAGACAATTTCACTGACAATTGACCAGCAATATGGCGCAAGCAACGTCGACGGCGGTCCCGATAACCCGACTCAAAGTACTGCTGCCTTCCGCATTCCCTGGGGTATCCAGATGGTGCCTGGCTTTATCCTCTTCGTCGGCCTGTTCTTCTTCCCCAAGTCGCCCCGTTGGCTTGCAAGCAAAGACCGCTGGGAGGAAGCGTTGGAAGTGCTTGCCAACCTCCACGGAAACGGAGACCGCAACCATCCCAAAGTTCTGGCTCAGTATCAGGAAATCGAGGAGGCTTTGGCTCTGGAGCGTGAGCAGGCGTCTACTAGCTACCAGGAACTGATCAAGCCTCGCATTGCCAAGCGTGTGATCCTTGGTATGAGTTTGCAGATGTGGTCTCAGTTATGCGGTGAGTTGGTCGTAACATCCAACCTGGGGCACACAAACTAATGGCTGGCTCGGACAGGTATGAACGTCATGATGTACTACATTGTGTATATCATGCAGAGTACTGGAACTGGCAGCCCTCTCCTGACCGCTTCCATTCAGTACATCTTGAACACTGCTTTGACCCTGCCCGCCATCATCTACCTCGACAAATTCGGTCGTCGTCCTGCCATCCTGATCGGTTTTGGCCTGCAGGCTATCTTCTTGTACATTGAAGGAGGTCTACAGGCTGGATTTGGCAAGCCTAACCCGCACACAGACCCCAAGCTCAGTGCCATTTCTTGGGTTGTGTCCGACCATCCCAACGTTGGTAAAGCGATCATCGCGCTCTCCTATCTCTTCGTCTGCTCCTTCGCGACAACAATCGGTCCTACCTCGTGGACCTACCCTGCGGAAATCTACCCGGCCAAGGTCCGCGCCAAGGCTGTCTCTCTTGCTACCGCGTCGAACTGGATCTGGAACTGTCTTCTAGCTCTGTTCGTCCCACCTCTGCTGTGGTCGATCAACTGGAAGATGTACATGATCGTACGTGACCTTGCATGGAGAACTTATAACCGTAGAAAAGCCAACTAACAGTTCTTACAGTTTGCCGCCTTCAATACCGCCGCCTTCATCCACATGTTCCTCACGGCCCCCGAGACCAAGGGTTACACTCTCGAGGAAATGGACGAAGTCTTCGACAGTGGCATTCCCGCCTGGCGTAAGCTCAACAAGCGCAGCAGACTGGAGGAGCTCGAACAGGAGATTGCCCAGGGCAAGCTCAAAGTCGCTGTTCACGGCGAGAAGGATGGACCTGTTGCTGCTACTACCGAGACCGCGGAGAAGCAGGCCGAGACGGTCTAGACGGGTTCCCTTGTTACTGGATCTTGGTGGAAGACTTTCTTTTTTATATGAACAATGGTGCACGGTAATAATTTGGAACATGAGCTGACTACATCCGGGCTTGGGCTACTCCAGTTCCGTGTTTGGTTAACTTGGTTAGTCTCAGGTAGTCCTCATGAGCGTCTAATGCGAGTGCTGTCGACAGTAATATCAATTAATACGAATCTAAAGTTGTTGCCAGCGGTTCCCACGTTCTTAAAGCCCGTTGGGAGTTTACGCTAGTGGAGTTGAATATGCCCAATGCGATATACAAGCACTGTTCAACTCTCAAGCTGAGTAAGACCAGAGCTGGCTCGAGTAATTTACCTGATCGTCCTCCGTAAGGTCCAAACTAACAGCAGCCTTATTTCAAAATAAAACATAGTATCTGGTTACAGACATAGTCACGGCACATGGCTCTCATCTTAATAAACACTGACAACAAACAAAGTCAGTTACAGCAGGTTCCGCAACAGAGCAGCCATGTAAAGCCTGGTGCTCGTAGAACTACATTCACTACCCCTTGTCACATTCACCCTCAGTAAACAATGCAAGCTTCATTGTATCTTTTCCCATCTCCTACCCCTCTCACTCCCCATCTACGTCACCCATCATCATCTAACATCACCATTACACATCACGTGCCTGCAGCAACCCTCAAGAGATGGCTACTACTACCTCCTCCGTCAACATCAACGTAAGCTCTCATCCCAAATATCGAGAGAGAGATACTAAGAGCAACCCCAAAACCACAGTTCTACGGCGAGCTCCGTCAGCTGTGGGTTGAGATAAACTCTCACTGCGAGAGACTCCATCTCCTCGATTCCACAACCCGCGTCTTATCCGCCTGTATCGAATGCAAGATTACACCTTACGGGATGGTTCCGCTTGATATTGACGGGCTCGAGAATGCCGACGAGTACGTTATGCAGTTGGTAGTAAGTATCTCATATCCGCTGCTCAATGCATCACTTCACTTATAGCTCGCTCACCCGGAGAAGATCTGCGGCCCAGAGTTCCCCGTCGGCCCGATCATCTCGTTCGTTGACTCGGTGCGCATGATGTGTGAGCCTGTGAGTGGATCCGCGCAGGTGCATATTACCGCTATTGCGGTTCCGTATGCGGTTCGTTTTGTTGCCTTTGATGGATGGTATGCTTTGCTGATGATGAGGGTAGACGCAGCAGCCTGATGTTGCAGCTCCTGGCGGATACTAGGTTCTGAGTCGCGGTGTTCCTACGTATGAAGCTCCCATGTGCCATGTGCAGAATGGCTTGAACTCAGTGAAGAGCTTAGTGATAAGTACGGTTTGAGTATTGGTTGCGAGGTATAGTAGGCTGACTGGGTTCTACCGCAGGAAGACGCACGGTTACACGTGCCAGATTGAACATCGATTGATGTCGTTGGAGGACGGCTTTTGGTTGTTGATGACAGATGGAGGAAGCCAGAGAATAGTCTTGGACTAGAACCAGGCATCATCTTGACTTAATCGGACGTGATTGTTTTGGTTGGTTACTCTTATCGAATAGTTGAAATGAGCTCCAACGATTCTTGAACTTCGATTTCGTCGGATAATCCAGCGCAGCAAGTAGATCCTTCTGAAAAGCGAAATGGCTTGCTGGCATGATCTTTCTCTAGGCCATGATAGTGATGATGAAATTTGTTATGCCTGAGGCACCTTACAATTCTCGTTTTGCAGCAATGATCCCTGTTGATCTTCCCACTCCATTTCTCTCCTTGGACACTTAGTCCACAATAACTTGGTGACTGCCGGACTTCTAGTCAGGAGAATCATTCTGGCTACGGTGATCTGACCTGTCAAGATCTGCGGTCCTGTGTGACTTGCTATTTTCAGGGCGGACCACTTGTGTTTACTGGACTGCGACCTCCAGAGTTACGCCATCTCAAGTACCGGCAGTTCCCAACCCAACCTTGATCTCTGACTCAGAAGCACAATTGTGCCTCTTACTGCTTCTTAATGATGCGAATTTGTCACCAGCCTCGCAGACCTACCAGCTGTGCAGTGTGCGCAGACTGTGGACCGGTTTTGAGCAATTGGGGCCATTCCTTTGCCCCAATTGACCGACAAAGTGATTGTAAAGCGCCTCAGTCAATGCCGAACTGCCGATCGAACCTGAGTTGCAGGATCTGCTTGGGCTCCAAAGGACAAAGAGCGAAGTTCCAACAGCGGAGCTGATTGTGGTTGGCTCCTTTTATTCCGTATTGTGAAACCTCAGCCTCCTTTGCCCATTTTACTCGTAAGCCCAGGCGGCGCACTGTTCGCCTTCGTTCGCCTTCTCTTGTGGATAATCTTCTGCATCGAAACAGGCAGGATGCCGCTGAAGAATGTGGTCGTCACAATCTGGCTTACTCTGAGATACTTCCTGTCAGCCGAATCTGTCTGCCAGAAGAATTTTTCGCAAGCCTGCATTAAGGCAATACCTGGAAGCCAGACTTGTCTATGGCTATTTTTGCGTCGTGTTTCGTAATTGAAATCCGAGACAACCTCACCGCCGTTTGACTTCTGACTCAAGCGATTCGAGGCCGACATGATGAAACTCTCACTCACGGGTACATCACCTCTTTAGCTAGCGCTTCTCTGCGCAGAAGTCAACCCAGCCAGCGCGACATGCCTTAATCTCGACAGAAGCGAAGCACCGGATGATGTGACTTGTCGAACAAGTGGAACCTCAAACCTCAAACGCTGCAACAAGCAAGATATCTGCCTATCAAACGGCTTGTGCTATTTGTAGGGTTGGCATCCAAATGACCTCTCGCGTGGACGCTGTACGAACATAAACCGGAACCAGCGTTTTATGCTCTATGCTGTACGTTTGATTCCCCCTTCCAAACCACTCGCCCGTGCCGCAATACTAGACATGCCATCTAGCGGACATCAATCGAAAAAGCGGCTATCCGACCGTCAACATGGGCTACGACACAACAGATGCCAAATACTGCTGCGGATCCGTGGTGGACAATAAACGCGGAGATGGTGATCCCTTTACGATCGAAAACGGGGCAGTGATACCAGGAGTAGCAGCTCTGGCTGGTTACTCGAATGCTTCGTCAATTACCAATACCACCTGATCGAATCCTTCATCGATTACCAATACCACCTGTCCTACAGGGAATAGTTCATCACCATCTTCCCACGACGTGGCTATCGGAGCAGGGGTCGGCCTGCCTTTGGCTGTCCTTGCTTTGGCATCAATCGCCTGGGCGCTGTGGGCGCGTCGGCATTGTAAATATATGCTCGCCTGGAGAGTATGCCGGCGACCGGAGCTCAGGCGACAGGTCAATACCGATATCAATATCCCTCGCACGGTGTATATCAATCGCATCCGGCGGAGCTCGCGCAAGCCGGGTGGTATCGGAGTTGGACAGCAACGGGGACGCAAAATAGCCTTCCGCCCCTATCTCTGATATTGGTCAGCAAGTCTTCAGGTTATGTATAATGTAATAATCAGGATACGTATGTAGATATCCCATTCATACTGGTAAAACAAGGCCAGACACAGAGGGGAATGAAATACTGAGGACCCCAAGCACAACCAGACACATCATGCGTCGTGCGAGCCTCTCCCTAGCTGCATATCAGGCCACCTACTATGAGAAGTGCAGTGTCCAGATTGGCTTAGCTCTTGCTCAATAAGCAGACGAATGAGTATGACTCAGGCCACTCTCGATGCTAATAGAACTGCATCTTGGGTGTCCATAGGTGCTTTTTGGGCATACGAGACAAAGAAGGGTAAGTGGGTACGTCTCGTATTCCTTCAATTACAGGTATTGGTTACAATGTGACGAGTGCGAATACGGGTGGTTGACGATTTGCGGTCAATAGCCGGAAAGCATACATACTGATGAGATATAGCTTGATTTATTTGATTGATTACTCACGACTGTGACTAGAGAGGATGGATCAGTCACCGAAGCCAATATCCATGATTAATGTTTAGATACATAGCGGGCTCCTCCCGGACAGATGGCACCGCCTGGTTCGTCCTCGTTGCGCTGACGGGAGTCTGTAGATGCACTGTCCGCTCCTGCTGGCGTGGAGGCCCGATACCGGTTGCGTGATTGCCATTGGGCTCCCAAGACTGGACGCCCGAGGCGCCCAGTGTAAGACGTTTCAGGCCTGGGTGCTTGATGACAGGATCAAAGTTGATGAGGATGATGGCTTGGTTACCGCCGCACAGTCCTTCCTGGTCGATTGAGTAGATGACTGAGCGCTCGTCTGCGACCGCTTGGATTTTGCCGATGCGGTGGGACGGGCAGAGCAGCTGGGTCAGCTCTGCGGGGGCGTTGTCAGGCGGCCACATGTGGATCCCGCGGGAGGTGAACCGCTCCTCGCTGTGTTCGATGGGGTTGCTGTCATTGTCGGTGAATTCTGGTTTGTGGAGGGAGTTGCTTGTCTCGTCGATGGGACTCTTGCGTTTTCGGGAGACGGTCCGCAGGCGGAGGCGATCGTGTGGGATGTGGCTGCCTCCTGGTGATGATGGGTGGGGGTCGTTGACGAGGTCGACGAATGTCGAGGCCGAGAGGTTGTAAGTGCGGAACTTAGTTTTGGCCAGGATGAAGTCACGTCGCTGGTAAGGGGTGTCGTGGCTGTGGTTGACATTGTCCTCCAATGGATATTCCGAGTGGTAGTGTCTGCGCAACCGTTTCTGGGGTCTCTCGTAGATTGCCTTGTTCGACGAATCTAGTGTCTTGGTTAAGGGCTCGTCTGGCAATTCAGCAGCTATCGAACTGCATGGTGGGTGGTTGGCCGGTCGCTTACTCCGAGAGATCTCTGCAGGCGACGGAAGGGGCTGCATGTAGTAAGTCCGGCAATTATCGCTGCCTCCGTTGCGCCATTCGCGGCGACATTCTAGGATCAGGAGTTGGTTGGTCGCTTCGTCCTCTCGAAGCGAAAGGTCAGACCATGTGTCATTGATTGGGCCTTCGCGATGCTGTCGGCGCCACTCGGTCCTGGGCGTCACCGAACCCGTATTCCCGCGAGGAGGCAGACAGATCCACATGTACAATGAGGTCCAGTCAACTTCTTCTTCTTCAAAGTCTACCAGGGTCGAAACGGCATACAGATGGTCCTGATGCACCTCGAAGCAGACGGTCTGCCCAATCTCATTGCCCACGAAATTATGCAGTTCGACAGGTTTCTCTGTTGTGTGTTGTCCAGTAGCTAGATCCACGCAATGGACGGCCCACTGCGGATAGCCATAATGACTCAGTGCAGACTGAGTTCCGTAGTAAAGGTAGGACCTGTTATGTCGGACAAAAAGTCGTCGTATGGACTGAAGCGGCGTGCGGAGACGTAATCGGCCGGTCTTGCAGTCTGTTTTCCTGCGCATATCTACTGCAAGAAGCCAAGCATCCCGCGCCTCCCCAATCTCGACCAGAAAGGCCAGAATCCCGTCACGGTAGTGCAGTAGCGATATCTGGATCGTATGTCGCGCCGGATTGCAGCCTGGGATCGCACGAGAGAGGACATTGTGAACGTTCAGAACCTGCTCTACTTGACCGACCCCATGCACATCCAAGGCACGAATCTTGTTGTTATAGATGTAGCAGAGGGAGCCTTGGTTGTACAGAAAGGCCGACCCGTAGGCGAGAACCAAGGCCGAATACGGCTGAGCTGTGGCGAAAGCCTCCTTGATATCAAACAGACGGCCAACTGCTCTACGATATCCAGTTCTAGTTCTATTCGCTTCCCGTCCCTCATTGGAATGTAGCAGGTGTTTCTAAATAAAGTTAGAATGCTGCCCTCGCTCTAATCTAAACTATCCGGGAAAGTACACACCTCAATTGTCTTTCTCGCAATGGACTCATTTCGCATCAAGGTGTTGAGAGCCTGGTTGACTCGACTGAGATGGATAAAGTCGTGGCAGTCCAAGCCCGAGGCGATCTGGTAGAACACATCATATGGGATGGAGTCCAGCTTTTTGGTCATGTCTGTCATGTCCAAAGCAGGATAAAGAGACGATAGCTCCAACCGAGCATGGGATGATATATAGAATACAGAGCGATGGATGGTAGTAATGTTGTAGTCAAAATGCGCGCTGTTGATGATGTGATGAAATTAATGGTGGTGCGAATAGTAATTGATAATGAGTATCTCCCACGGTGGAAATACACACATCCATCTTGCATGTCACACGCGGAGAAAGAGTTGTAGAATATATGACGAAACTCATTTGAGCCTCCTGCTTGAGCCTCCGGTATAAGCTTTGGGAGAGCTTTGTTCATTTGGGCAGAATTGGCCCACTGGATGACGCGTGGGATTATTGGATATGGATTCCATCCTGATTCCCACGGATCGAACTAGCTTCTAAAAGGAGCTCGGAAATGAGGGCAGTCTAACTGTTTTGGAAAAGAAAAAGAAAGGCTGTCTTTGCCTCACAAAGCAAAATAAATTAGAAAAATAAATAATAAATAAAATAAAAAAAGATTACAACTTGCCAGTCAGCCACAACATCACGAGAGAGTCTGGGCGGTACGAATGCTGATCAACGCCACGCTCAATTATCTTCAGATGGGTCATCATGGGTGAGCATAAAGCATCCAATGATCCAACAGTGGCCACTGCAGAGCCGCAAGTCACAGGAGATCCGGTCCAAGACTCCCAATTCTTCCAATTCTTGTGGCATTTTTCAACTACTACTAGAGTTATTGACGAGGCTTTCCAATCGCTTGGTGTGTCCTTGCATCCCCCCAAATGGGGCTCCATTGAAACAAGTTCCCAGCCATATTGCTGTTTTCCACCGAGTTCATGCTACAATTTGTGTCACCTCAGCAGCACATTTATCGAAGCTAAAAATATTTGCGAATGATAGCTCTCTAATGGTCCATTCCTGATCTCCAATAGTGAGACTTATCCAAGACCGCCTCGGTCCTTCACCGATTCCGGAGTGCCACCAAAAAATTACTCCTTTGTGGATTCTGATGAGGCTCAAAGTGGCAATTTGCAGACCTGCTGGGTGTTAGTGTTCCCGAACTGACCTACGGACTTCTGGAGCTCCTAGTCTAGTGCAAATTCCAAGATTCCATCATCATCGTATCCATGATCAAGATTCGCCCAGTTCGGAAACGAAACGAGCAAAATTCACTCAACTTCCCATTGTCAAGTGACCAACTAAAAAGAGCCACAACTTGCCGAGCCTCAATACTCCGTTTGTTTTGTAGACGCTGGAGTTATTGGTTGCCTGAAGAGGGGAAGTTTTGGTCTCAAAACTTTCTAGCCACCTTCGAGTGTCTGGACGACAAAACCAACTCTGAATCGGGCTTCTATTTGATTATTGATCCGTGATGATTATTGTTACCAGAACCTGGTTAATCATCAAAGGATGCAACTCTTGGTCGTACCTTTTGGTGGCTGGCCCCCATTGAAAAGCTCGCCGCCTGCGCCCCAAAACCCAACCATGGCCTCGTTTTTAAGGCAGCCGACCCGCCCAACTAGACAATATGCACAATCAACCAAATGCTGTACTATCAAACACATTTGATATGTCAAGTTCTCCATAATTTGTCAACCATCAAAGCGAGCACTTTGTGTGCGACTTTCGAGTCCTCGAATCCATGGCCTTGTCATCCCGTCCGTGAGTTCCTGAGAGTCTGGCCCCCGCTTTTGCACTGCCTCGCGCTTCCAAATGTCCGAAACGATGATCAAACAGGCACGCCAAACAAGGCTGGCACGAGGCTGGAGAATCTGAGTCTCGAGGTTGGAAAAGCTGAGGCACAGGCTAATTGCATCCAATCGGAATGCTCTCCCCATATGTTCCTTGTCGATATCATGGTACGGACGGGACCAAGCATGATACATGATTGCTGATGGCCGGCTGGGCCTGTTACGCTCCCACGTCCCACCAGTAGAAGGCTCTCCAACGAAGTCATGCTCAAAGCCTGTGTTTGTGTGCTCTCAATCGATCACGATGCGGGGTATCTGAGCATGGGGATCAGGCACAACTCCTCGAAGTCCGGCCGTGGGATTTGGCGTGCCACGGAGTTTACTGGTCAGCAGTGCAGTAAGCAGTGCGCCCGGTGTCAGCGCTAAGAGATAAGATGACCACTTTGCAGCAGATAGCGTTGCCTGGGTTCGATGCTCTGATTATCGTCCCGGGGCAACCCACGGCCAGTCAACTATTAGCCACTTTGTCCGCTGTCATCAGCGTCTATAATTAAATTACTTATGCAGGCATCCCAGCGACAGCTCCACCTGGGGCCCAACGGCCTGTCGCTGATAGCGACCTCCATGACTCTCGCCTGCGAGGTCATGAGGGGGTCGAATCGATGGTTTCCTCGTACTTGACAACTTGATGGAATCCGACTCCACGGGCTGTGTGACATGGTCCACATCCTCATAAATTCGACGGCCCTTGTCAAGCTTCCAAATATTGCCGCAGTGGAAAGACGTCTTGCATGTCTGTCCTGCGCATGAAAGCTGGCAACGTTTGTGACGAGCACAAAATACCAAAGAAGACCACCTCCGAACAATAGACCTTCAATAAAGCAATCCTTCCGAGTTTCGCAAAACTTGAGCTCAAACGGAAGCCTCAAGCCCAAACAGCTCATGATAACGCCGACCCTTCGTTGATTCGGAATTACAAGCTACAGAGCAATCTACCTAACTGAGTTCCTTTAATGCAATCGAAAAGAAGTCGGTCTATGTTTGGCTCACTGCACGAGCAGAGCATGAGACTATTACATGTCAGGTTTCCTGGCAGAAGAGGTCATCGAGGCCCAATGTCTGGAACAATGTGCAAATTCGTTTCAAGTCGCTCATCGATCGTGGCCAAAAAACGGCTGTAAAAACAGCACAACAAGGATCCGCAGGCAAGTTCTGTCTCCCCATCGGAAAAATCCATTTATCCTCAAAGTTCCAGGGAGTGTTCAGGCGCCATCCATAATACCACCGGGACCATTTGACAGTTTCTTAACTGGATACAGTGCCAAAGGATGGTACAGCCTCTATAAGCTGGTTTATCGTTTCTTTCATATCAGGTGCATGCTCAAGCTCTGGAAGGTGCTTATCCACAGTAGATGATAGCCTTCATCATCGCCCATAGATTTTCACTTGGGTTCAGATATCTGGGAAGATCCGATATCCCGATCCCTTGCCGACCTTCTTTCAGCCCTATGGTCAATCAACCCCCTCTGTGGGAAACCAAGAATCATTGTCAAGCCTGACATCAGATTCCAGCAAATCAGCATTCACTGTGTAAAACTGGATCATCATCTGTCGCGATCGACTGTATTATTAGAACCGTCTAGAAGCCAAGGGCTGGAGAAATGTAGATGCCTAAACGAACCGAGTTTTCCGGAACATTGCCCGGAAGGAATGGTGGCGGTCAGACGGTCTCTCCTAGTCAGAGGAGATCATTCTTTCAGCGTGAGCAGAAGTGTCTGAGTAATGGAGGCCATGAGTAAGTTGAAAATATAAATGTGAAGGCGAGGAGTAAAGGATTCCGGGGTAGCATTGAACAGGACTAGATATCAACTGAGCACTTTGATGACTTCAGACTTCAGTCCATGATCGATCTGCACCAATGTCTGTATCAAGTATGGCGAAGTGGACCAAGTTACGCCCGAGTTAAAAGAGACCTAGGCTAGTTTCAGACTCTCAGTGGTCCACTCCGGCCTTGATGTTTCGAGTATAACTTTGTAGAGAAGAGTGGTGAAGCGGTTGTTCATAATGCTGATGAACACTGATTTTGAAGATAACACAACTGCACGACATTCCTGGTGCAGTATATAAGAAAGAACTAACGATATCTTAGAAGCCCATCTTTTTGAGAGACCAAAACGATAGACGTGCATACCGCTTCTCTGCCCTATGTGTAATGCCTCGTCCCATGTCCCACTCTGTCAAGCTCTACCAGCAAATGACAGCGATTGACTGTGCATGGTCTTCCCCACTGTCAGTCAGCCCTGACGGCCTTAGTGCCTGGAGTCATTGTTCAATAATCGCACAGGTTTAAGTATCATGATTTGTCCAAGCTGCTACATAGTTGTTTCTTATCTAAACTTCAACTTTTCCTCCCTCTTGGAATCTGTTTCAGGATCTGACTTGGTGCACTCTGGTTTTGTTGTTGTTGATTCAGATCCTCAGCTCGCCCACATGAGTATTCTAGTTCAGTAATCAATTGTCCTCGAATCAGTCGACTGCTGGCCTCCACCATTTCGTTGTATCGGTTGCGGTCGGAGTTCAGCGAGTTTCCTCAACAGTCCTCAACAGTAGATTAATCAATTGATGTACCACCGTCACTCGGCTCCTCCACCCCAGGGTCGGTCTGGTGGCTACCCCCCTCCGCAACACCAGTGGCCTCCTCACCAGCCTTACCAGTAGGTTTCCTTTCGCGACACCATATGCACCGGTGCATTCGTGATTGACGAATTTCCAGATATCCGCCGTATCCGCCTCAAGGCCCTCCTCCCGCGCAAACATTTCCTCCTGTCCATCGCAGTTACCCATCGCCCTACCCCACGCCGCCTCCCCACTCGCCATCTCCATACCAGCATCCTCAGCATAGTAGGTCTCATTCTACTTGCCAAACCAGAGTGAAAAAGCGCACGCGACTAACCCAACGCAGGACACTCGCAGTCATGGAATGCGCCGAGTCTCCCTCCACGCCCGCCCCTCGAGGCGCAGCAATTCGGTAACGGAGCGCCTTCACACTACCGCTTCCAGTACTCGGCATGCACAGGGCGGCGCAGAGCCCTACTGATCGGAATCAACTATATCGGACAGCCGAATCAGCTCCGCGGATGCATCAACGACGTCACTAACATGTCGACTTTCCTCCATGAGCGATACGGGTATCGGCGGGAGGACATGGTTATTCTCACCGATGACCAGAAGCATCCCCTGAGCATTCCTACCAAGGCGAACATACTGCGTGCAATGCACTGGCTGGTCAAAGATGCACAGCCGAACGACTCGCTTTTCCTTCATTTCTCAGGTGGGTGGCTGTGTGTGTTTGTGATCTGTGAGACAATAGCTGAGGAGCCTAGGACATGGCGGGCGAACTCCTGATCTTGATGGAGACGAAGAGGACGGTTAGTCCACTCCTGTCTAGGTTTAGGCGAGAAGCTGACAGAATCAAGGCTATGACGATGTCATCTACCCTGTCGACTATCGTGTTGCGGGCCACATTGTGGATGATGATATGCACAGTATAATGTTAGTTTGTTTCTTCTGCTTAATAGCTTTAATACTCACCAATACAGGGTTCGGCCGTTGCGCCCGGGAGTTCGGCTGACGGTGATATTCGACTCCTGTCATTCGGGGACAGCTCTGGATTTGCCATACGTCTATTCAACTCAGGTTAGACCTGGATTCAGTGGAAGATCAACGAACACCATGCTAACCCCTGCAGGGCATCTTGAAAGAGCCAAACCTTGCAAAAGAAGCAGCGCAGGACCTGTTCAGCGCCATTAGCTCATACGGAAAAGGAGATTTGGGCGGAGTCGCCATGACAGCGATTGGGTTTCTCAAAAAGGCGGCAAAAGGCGACTCAGCCCGTCAGCGGACAGTGATGACGAAGACATCTCCAGCAGATGTGGTCATGTTTTCTGGCTCCAAGGACACACAGACATCGTGAGTGCTCTTGATGCGCTTTATTTACTGACGTCGTGTCTTTGCCGAGCTGACGGTCTTTTTCTAGAGCGGACACATTCCAGGACGGAGAAGCCCGTGGTGCTTTGAGCTGGGCTTTCATCAAGTCCTTGAGACAGTGGCCGAATCAAAGCTATCTGCAGCTGCTGAACTCGATTCGAGCACAGCTCGACGGGAAATACACACAGAAGCCGCAGCTGAGCTGTAGCCATCCACTGGGTGGGTCAACTTGTACAACGCCGATTCGCGAGCTAACATAGTAACAGATGTGAATCTGCTTTTCGTGATGTGAATGTACTCGGGTTATACGAAATTATGATTGATGGATGATATGACTGTGCCTTTCGATAGCAGACCAGGTCGTCCACTTTATTGTATATGTCCAGCGTTCAGCTACATCAAGGAGCATGGGTCATGCGTGCGATAGAAGAGCCGGCGACAGTTTGTTTATATACCCAGCATATGGAGCATAACGAAGTGACGACAAAGATGTAATAAATGGTAAGGTTGGACTCGAAATTCTAGTATCACTTTCTTTAAGTGTAGACGAAAGTGGCTAGCTGCCCCTGTCCAAAAGTAAAGAATGATCATGCCCCATGTCCCCATTTCCGACCTCTGACCCCTTCCCTGCGAGGTCTCGAGCAGATTTTGGACTTTACAAATCGTACCTAACGAAGTAGCGCGAAACCACTGACTCTGGGATGTCTCAGTAGCTCTGACTGCCTACGTACCTATTCCGACTGGTCTGTCATTTGAAGGTTGGAAGCTCAAATGTACTGAAGCCAAAACAGGAGTTGAAAATGGCTCGGAGACGCTGGCCAGCTGCTTAATTGGCCTTGGACGGTTGAAAGAAGAATTCCACCGCAGCCATAATATTATATGCCCACTGGCCACCCAGAGGTGTAGCATCCAACCTCCCGAGGATATTTATTGCAGTCTAAATCAATACTGGCAGAAAAGTGATGTTGTGGACTAGCAGCGATGGCGGAGTGGCTGACACCATGTTTCACCTGCAAGGTGGCTGATGTCTATTTTTATGGTCGGACTTGGCATTGATGCATATGCAGAGTTTCAACTAGGTACTCTGCTCACATATGGTTAGTAGTAGTAGTGGTAGTAGTGATAGTAGTAGCCATGATCCGTCCTCCATTCAGTGTGTACTTGCTTCCGCATGGATATTGTGGCGGAGCAGCACTGTCATCGTGTTATGATTCCATCCCTTGATTGCACGAAGTGGACATAAGAGTCTCCACCGGTACGGAGTACCTGTGGAACAGCCCGTAGCCATGGCTGCGGACCATGGATGCAGGAGTGCACATACGTACATGTACCTAAGACATGGGTTGAGATTTGAGAGTCAAAGATCACGAACATGAAGAATTTCGATCTTTCAGTTAGCTGATGCAAGACCAATAGCTACTTGAGATATTTCTGGCAGCGTCAACTGCCGCGTCATCTGGCGCGCGAACGTCTCCGAGTAGGCACTCCGATGGGGTTTGTTATCGGGAATCGGCTCGGCGGGTGGCTCAGGTCGTTTAGTTCAGAGTGTTTAAGCCCAGTATGCGGGGTTTTCGTAGCCCATGGCTGTTTCGAGTCTACGTACGCTGTGAGGGGAAGAATTGGAAATAAGCCTGGAGGCAGGAAGGGATGGCTGGAGTACAGTACTCTGTCGTGCGACTGCGCAATCTCGAGCAATGCTGCTGGAGCAGACTCGTGAAAGTTAAACATGTACGACTTCGGACGTAGACGGACCGTAAAGACTGGCGACTCCATAGTTCCACTCTTTTTCCACTTAGCTTCTCTTCTTTCTGAGACCGATGGCCAGTTATTACTGCTCGTTCATCCACGTCCTTCCCACCGGGACAGATCCCAGGCAACCGACAAGTGAAAGGTGCAACTGGCAATGAAAGACTGTGTGGTGTCTCTTGAGTAGTCCTCTCCATCCACAACCTTCCGTCCTACTCTCAAGGGCATTAATAATAAGCGTCATCGTCGCCGTCAACATCATCAACAACACGGCCATATCTCATAAAGGAAAATGTCAACATCCTCCGCAACAGATTCTTCGCGGGAATCGGACCCCGACAGCCCCGTCTCCCTCTCCAGCCGCACCATCAACAACCCCGTCTTCCCCTTCCCCGTCCCCCAATGTCGTCGAACGCGCAGAGACATCCCCAAAGTCGACCGCTACTATTCCACCCCGTTGCGAGCAGACTCGCCCGACTCCACCCCTCTGCAGCTGTACGGCCTCGAACAGCGCGAGCCGTCCATCTACGAGAAACCGCGCCGCCTCCGCCGCTTCTCGCACGTCCTGGACGACATCAAGGAGGACTTCTCTCTGCAACTGGACCCAAACAACATGGCCGACAAGATCCGGAGCCGACGCCAGTCGATGCTGATGTTCGATGTGGCCGCGTGCCCATCAGGGGCAGGCGCAGACGCAGCACTCCATCACGATCAGCGTCCCATCACGGCGTCTGGCCCGCCGCGCTCGAGACCCCGCTCCATCCTCTCCTTCGATAATTGGACCCCGCCCACGAGAGGGCTGAGTCGCCGACTGTCGACTTTCCGGTTCGGGTCAAGGAGGAAGAGGGCTTCTCCCGCACAGCTCGCGAGCATCTCGCAGCCGAACTTGATCGGGTCCTCCACGGATATGTAGCATCAGCCCACGGCTTTCAGGCCATTCCATCGGACTTATCCTGGTCCAAATGTTTCGTGCAATGCGACCGTATCCTCAATAGCGACAGCTATTCTAGCCTACATTCTCGCAACTTTCAGCCAAGCCCTTTCAGTCTTGGGTAAAAGTCTTTCTTCGGTCGACGCATATATTCATCGTTATTCACATTAGCTTGGCGTTTGGTACTGGTATTCAACAATGATAGACTGTCTTTGGCGCTGCATCTCTTTCCTTCTGTCATCAAAATCAAATATATGTACATAGCTTAGTAGTAAGAGGATAGTTATAGCTATAGCTATACCCTCGCTTAATCAATCACATTGATTTCCCCCTTCCCAAAATTTATGGCTTAATGCATGTGATAATTCAGCCACTCAATAACCGCACCAATCACCAAACGAAAGGCAGCGTTATCGCTCACACTATCTACTCCAAAGCGATTAGTCGATAGGACAAGCGCTTCTCGGCTGCTCTAGTCAAGCCTCAAGTATGCTAGAGAATGAAATCTCACCAATCGCCCGCGGCTTCTTTATCGATTCGACTCTGGTAAGGAGCGCGGCCTAGCAGATTGGTTCGCCGCAGGGTTTTTTTTTCTTTTCTTTCGTTGGTGGAAAATTGAGTATCTATGCTGTAATAATTATCATGTTAAGGTATCATTAAGTATGCAATTCTTGAGGGAAACACCCTGCTGGGTTACATTGGCATTCAGCCGTGAATTTAGCCGAAGGCCTCGGTCTCTTTACACAGTATGGGGTACTCCAACTGATCCTCCGCTGATCGGTCGCTGGCTCGAAGCAGAATTGGGGATGAAATGACCTTTCGTTCTTGTAAAAAGAATGAGTCTCTTTATTAAAGTAGTATCAAAGTGAATGGTATATCCGTGTACTGTGCAAGTCTAACGCCAATCCAACCCAACCCAACCGCCGTCCTGATGTAAACTGTAAACTGTAAACTCCAATAAATCCCAGCCCAACTTTGAAATCCCTGTCCTGCACGCCCGATGTCCTAGACCACCATCTGCCTGACGCACTGCATCCATAGCTGCGGAAGGAAAGCGATGTCCGCTCTGACCCCTCTATAGAGTGACGCTCTCCAGATCCCGCAGCACGACAGACATCTGGGCCCGTTTTGCTGCTTCAGCGACGAGACTAAAGTCTCGTAGGAAAGGAGCTGTCGCTAACGGACCCCCCGAGCCAGTGACCTGGTGGGGGTAGATGTCAGCTGCCGGGGGCGGGGGCGCCGTGTTCGCAGACTCGGTGGAAGAAATGGTCTGGTTGCGGTTTTGTTGCTGCTGCTGTTGTTGTTGCCCGCTCACTCCGAACTGTGTCTGGTTTGTACTTGACGGTAGGATGTTCTGCGGTTGGGCTGTCATCGCTGAGGGTGTGTAGCCTAGCGTGACTGACGAGGATGGTATGGAGTTGGAGCCTTGGATGTTGCTGTGGGTTATGGAGTGCAAAGTGCGGGCAGACTTGTCCATGACGGTGGTCAGATTGGGATGACTTTAGGATCAAGTCGTCAAAATATCGCTGGCGAAGGATGGATAAGGTCGGAGGAGCGGGGTGCAGCGTTGGACTTGACGATATGGGCTGATTGTGGTAGGCTGGCTAGTGCGGCAGTGGTGTATTGGTTAGCACTGGTAAATGGCGTGATGGTGGAGGTGATGGTGGAAGTGATGTGAAGGGAGAGAGGAAGAAAATAATCATCGCCTGGTCAATGTCGCAACACGTGGGGGCTTACCCAGATATACCGCGGGATGACGTCCGATAGGAAACTGGAGGGAAAAGTATGTGAACCGGTGATGACGCTGGTATGAAAGTGGCCCAGAGATGCCAGCCAAGACTAAGAGAAGAGAAAGAGCGTCTACTGATGAACTCTAACAGAGGCACCGACTTGGTAGATGCAGCCTATACTTGATCAAGAGGATTTAACTACGCACAGGATCCACAGCGACTATTGTCGCCCATTTAATGATCATCCGGGTCGATGAGGAGGATGATTTCTTTCCAGAATCTCTTAGAGAAAAAGCGAGGTTTACCCGATTTATATCCGGTATGTATCTCCGCGTATCACTATGCGGGGTTTCCAGCGTCGCATGCAGGTACCCCTGCGAAGTTACTGTATGGTATTGTATGCGGGAGAAGCCTCGGCGGCTTTGTGGATTTATATTCACGTGATCTCATGTGATAAAGACTTGCACTAGCCCAATTATGGACATTACCCCACCATCACCGATAGAGAATTTATCACTGATAGGCGAAATTGTTGCGATCGGACTGCGCCATGTGATGTCCTCTTGCAATTGCTTCTTTTATCCATCCGTCGAAACTTCATTGTACAATGTCAGACGAAGAAGACTTCGTCGGATTCGGGGACACCTTCAAGGATCCCGAAGGGTTCTACCCTCCTGAGAAGGAACCCACCTTCGCAGAGCATGAGATGCTCACCGGCCAGACGGTGCGCGTGCGCCTTGTCGGCAGCCATCCTCTCTACGTACGAACACGCTGAACCTCCCAATACTCTCCCTTGCAATTGTTGATACCTCAATCCTCTGCTTTCGCCGACTGACCGTCTTTGGAGGGTGAT